TACGATCCTGCAATAGCTATTTAAAAAGAAGAGTCTGTGGTGTTTTTCGCGATTAATTAGATTGAACGTCCCCTTTCCGATCGGACGTGCCTGTGTCTTTATAGTCTAACTCAGCTATACAGCTGTATACAAACGGACGGCCTTTATAGGAGTCATTTAACTCGTATAGAACGCCATTCACTAATTTATATCTTCTCCATTAGGTATGGAAAACCATCATTTTTTTAAGATTATTTTCCGGCGCATGCCTGTTTGAGGTTGCTTTTTAGATTTCAGATACTCTGCTAGTGTTATGATATCTGTTGCACATATTTCGTGGAGGTACGCTCGGACAATTGTAATTTGAGGTACTTTGAGGTTTTTTGCATGTTTTCGTATGCAGTCTATACGTCTGTGGCATTTCAACTTTTAAAAGAAGTAATATAGCATGTCATGCATTGGGTTTGTTAACACATCGTGAGTGATCTGGATGATGAACACCTTAGTACTCTTTCCAATATACCTCTTTTTTCTAAAGTGCATGCTTGTGAAAACAATCTGATTAAATTACAAATCCTGTGTCTAATCATTTTTACTAGATTTTTGTAAAATTGATTTTAAAAATCATTAAAATTCAGGCTTTATCTTAAAATCATCAAGAATACCAACTTTCGTGATAAGAATCATTTTAACATTACATTATTCGCTTGATTTAAAAGTAGTTTACATATAATTACAATTACACATCTAAAAAATTCTGAAATTACTATTTCTTTTGTATTCAGGTCTTAAAAAAGAATAATTATAAACATTGAAACTAAATCGATTTAAAAGTAAGAGTTTATTTATATTTCTTTATAATAAAATAGCTTTTAATATGCCAAAATAAATTATAACAACTATGAAGTCACGGTACGTGACAGATAAAAGTATACTTTTCTACATAATATAAAGAAAATTCACGAATACGTTTGTAATATAATACTATATAATTAAGTCATTTTTCAACTTAGACGTATACGAAATATGTGGTCATATGGTCTGAAATAATTTAGAATAAACAAAAAAATGCAGAACTCATACAGCCTCCATCCGCCATTAATTATTTCATATCAACTGCATTATGAATGTATGAAGTCAGAATTCCAATGTTTTAGGTAGTTTTCTTCCTATGTTTTATCATTAGAACTATGGATGTATAATTTTGACAATGTGATACTTCCATGTTTGAATTTGATGGAACCATTGAAATTTGACATTTGATATTTGAGTTAAATTCGGTTGCATTTTTTTTTACTTTGAAAACATTGGGTTTTTTTATAACGAAATTTAAAAGGTCAGTGTAGTATGGTATTTTGACCGATTGAAAACTGACCTTGTGATCGGTTAAAGTCAGAAATAGTTACTCTCCGCTCGTGACAAATGACTTTTATTTGAAATATGCTCATCATTATTTGAGAAATTCCATTCGAAGGGGACACGATTCCGATATTGAATAAACATAATGTTTTTAAAAGGTTACCAAGATGATGAGTCCAAATAAAAATTATTCAAGATTTCTTACTATGATATAAAGAAAAATGAAATGCGGTGAATAAAACGTTTATGATAATGATGAGGGTGGGGATATGGGTGTTGAAGAAGTGAACTACATGCACTAGTTATTGCCGGACTGTCAAAATTCTTTATAAGTGAAATGATTAACAATTTAATGAATGGTCTTTTTAGTATATCCATGCTAAAGCATACCTTAGAAATAAGATCGAAGTAAACTGTATATTATGTTAGAAGGGTAAACCAAACTCTAACTAGATAAAACATACTATCTCAAAAAGAGCATAACAATTACCAACACATTGATACTATCTGAATGGGTCAATATCCGCAATTCTTTTCTCAAGTAGGTGATAATGCTAGCTTTTTCTTCCATTCGTCTGTCGATATCATAAATCTGGATATGTATGATGGCTCGTTTCGAAACTCATACATTTTCATAGATGTGGTCAAATTTTCGGGTTACACAATGTGATTAATTTTTTCTACAAATTTGGAAACCCCTAAAGGCCCCGTGTGATGCGGCTTCAGCAAGTAAAAGCTTCCTATTTTCACACAGTTGAATTCTCTGGAAATTCAGTCTGTTCTATACAAACTTATTAAAAGCTCAATTTTATTTACATCTTTATTGTATTGTCTTTTTAAATATCACAAATGGTTAAGCTCAGTCAGTTATTTAAAATAGCACCATCTCCTATATCATTGCACGGAGATTTTTAATCTGCATATTATAATTGTGTTTCTCCTGTTGAGTCGCATTAGGGATGTTGAACCATCTATTTTCTCGTGCATGTTTTGACTATTTTTATGGTGTAAAGTTTTCACAAAAATACTTAATACAATCATACTTTACTCAACGATATGCAATGTATTACAATGTATAACTATTATCTTTCTGGACATTAAGGGAAACAATTGAAGTCTTGACCAAATTTCTTTCGGTGTCAGTTTCTAGTTGAAGGTCAGTCTATTGAGCATCCTGTGAATGTTGGTGATATGATTTATTAGAGGCAGGTTGAACAAGGTGATAAAAAAGTAACCAAACATCAAATTTCATGCATGTATTGAAAGTGTGTCCGAATGAAAGATAGAATATTCGGGTTTAGAATACCCCCACTTTTCAGAATACCCAAAATACTGAACAGTACAACAAACCACACCAAAGTATTAATTACAATATCCAAGTCCTTTGTAAAAAGGTAACTAGAGCTTTTACTATTGCAGTATCCAACGACCTTAGTAAGCAATTGCGAAAACATTTTCCTCTGAAAACACTGCAGTGATATGGATTAGATTTCCTTTAATAATTTCTAATGTCTTTTACCTTAAAACTCTGTCCAATGAGCTCAATTTTTTTTTTGCAACTTATCCTTAATTCCGTGAACAGGACAATCCACTGTCGAAAATAATAGATTTATGAACTTCTTAAAACTATGGTCGAAGTCTAAGTCCGCCGTCTGTTGTACATGTCCACCATGGTTTAAAAAAATATAATATGGAAAATTCGAAAGACATTATACATTTATGCATCCTTTTTTTGAAAGCCAAGGATAGTAAACAATGCTTGAGGAGGTCATACCCATAAACATCAAAGTAACACGTTACAAATTCCGTGCGTCCAAAGTGCTTTTCTGAATTAACCTTTTTTAGGAACGTTCAATCCTAAACATTTGAAATCCATGGAAGTAAAAATACGTAGTCTCGTTAGGAACTGTATGACCAAATAAAAGGGACATAAAAGACATATCTAAAGCCAACGAACTTTGTCTGAGAGAGTTTGAACCTTGCATTCTCAATAATTTCTTAATTTGTCAATTGGGAATTATAGCAATGTATGATATAAACAGATGCACTAACTAACGAGCTTAATATGATTGTTCCAACATCTTTCCGACTTTTACATTTTTACTTGTCCCTTGTTCTTTTTATTTTTCAACAGTAAATTTTTACGTTCTGCACATTTAACTGTTGAAAATAGTTTACAATTTAGAATTCTATTTTGTAATAGATTCAAAATTGTGTTCTACATATGTGTTAGACCAAAAGTCCATTACTCGCATCCTAGAAATTTACCCCTATTTAGAAGTACACCATTTTCATTTCAGACAAAGTTCTGGTTCAGAAAATAGAAAAAATAAATAGTTTTGAAAGTCATGCTGTCCTTCGTGTTTGCACTGCACTACATAATATGTCAAATATATTTATAATTCTTGAATTTAACCAATAATGACTTTTTAGTAAAAGCTATTCCACGACAAATATGTGAGATAAAAATGTAAATATTCAAATATCGAAATTAAACATAGATAAACATAGATAACACTTCAATATTTAAAAGATTTGTACTATTGTTATGACATAAGCATTATTGAATATTATATGTGGTTCGTTCGGGTCTCACACAGGGTATATAATGTGACATTCCCGGCTGAGGTTTTATATTCCCTGAGCCGAAATATTAAATTATTTTCACTGCAAATTACAAAATCCTTCACTTATGCGGCAAAATATCAGGTTGTGAGTATCAATATTTCTGTCGGTCATAAAGCATAAAAAGTCACCTACATACAAACAGAGCATATGAAAGCTATATACTTTATTGCAAACATCTTTCTAACGTAAAAATAATATATTTGTCAAGATGAAACCAAATGCATTTTAAGTGAAGGACACAAAATATACAGAAACATGTCCTGATTGTCTAACTGCATAGTCAATATTTCAACAACTAACTCTGTACTAGAAAATACATTAAAGAAGGGTAATCCGTAATATATGTGTAATTCAGGTCTAAGACAGTGAATAACCAGTATGAGTATGTTTCTACGTCTACCATGCTTTAAATGAAATTAGCATGCAAGGAACATTTATAACTCAATTAAACGACATTGGGTTCTATACAAATAATCACCTCATTAACACATCTATTATTAAAATTTATACAATTAGAATGTCTATACTTGTAGTTGCTAAATTAATAGAAAAATCTATAATTTGTTGTTGAATGTCATCAGTTATGTTGTTCGCTTTCATTTATCGACTCTAAATTTTAATATTGTTGAATTGGGAAACAAATGGGCTTGACAATTTGAAAAAAAAAACTGTGCTATAATGCTAACGAGGAAGTCTATACATTCTTTTTAAATCCGTGACTATATCTGGAAGTTACTGGTTAGAAATGTCTAATTAAGACATGTTAATTGTGAATTTCTTTTATATTTCTTGGACCATACATTTAAATTGGAATTAACACTTACAAACGACGAGAAAGGCGATTCATTAAGTGTTCTAGAAATGATAGAATGCTGTTTCGGAGGTCTACACAAACGATGATCCGCAATTTGTACATGGATAATATAAAATTGAAGATACATCAGTTTTCTAATTATTAAATGGAAACAGCAGTGAGACTTCCGCAATGTATACTGTCTGCGTCATATTGTGTATAATTCAAACCTGTTTTGTAGGGATGTACTTGGCACAATCACAGCTACTCACAACAGAGTTGTATCAACACCTTTTTCTTAATACCAACTATACGATAAATTTGTTACCAGTTTGTCAAAATGGCGGGAATGTTACAGTTAAACTGCAGACGGCGCTCAGACAAGTTATGGATGTGGTAAGTTACAAATTCATGGTACTTTGATAGAAGATTTTGTATATTTGCTGGTTATATTGGATATTATTATAGCTTGTCATTATTTCAGTGTAGTAATTTTATAAAGAAATTCTGTGGAAATTTTTGAAATTGGTTTATGCAATAACTCTCATTTTAGAAGTGTCAAAACATCGCATTTAATTGTATTTCTTGAATCCCCTTTGCATGATATTACCGTGATCATAAAACGCCGAAGCGAACTATTTTAAACAAAGAATGTCACACATGTAAATTTTCAGATTAGACGACTGTTCTAATACAAGAACGTAAAAATATGTCGCTAGTGAGTTGAAACATATCAACATCGTATCGGTTAACCAATTTGGGATGGTGACCAGAAAACAATATAGTGTTGGTTCTAGTAGTTCTTCATCATAACTGTTTTAGAGCAGAATTTGTGTCAGGGCACACACCTGTCAATGAAGTCCGTATAATGTGAACATACACGATCGTAAATCAAAAGTATTAATTACATTGTACGATATAAAAGCCATACGACAGGACAGAGGGTATATTACTGCTGAGAAAAGGGAAGTTGACAATTGGAAAGTTGAAATCGTACCGTTTGTCATACTATTTGATTCTACTTTGAAGTCGACTATATATGTCAATATCAAGGCTTTATGACAAAACAATAAACGAAAAACCAATACGACGGACAGCAACCAACGACAACCATTGAATTACAGGCCCCTGACTTGGGACAGACACATGGCATGCGGAGGGGTTAAGTTCACTGGGATATATGAGATGCAAGGGTTATCTAGTGACAGGAATTCATTAATTTATCTGAAAGTGAAATCAAAGAACTTGGCAAGACCCCTTTTCTGTTTGTCTTTGAGATGTTCTGCTTCATACGAGTACACAAACAAGTCGGCAGTAGGGTGCAAAATTTTTACCCATTGGATATCATCTTTGGTGTATTTGTTGTTGGAATCAATGTTGTTCTTCACAAAGTAAGATTTTCATGACCTAACCAAGGAATTTGTATCTACGATTCATATGTTTGTAGAAAAATCACTGTTTAATGAGAAGACGTATTCGATCATTCAAATGAGAATGAGGAATAATAGTATATAGAGCGTAGAAAAATCAAAAGTTTTCATATTAGTGCAAATTGAAACTATTGCGATTTAAGATTTCCGAGTAAATCTTAAGGAAGAATATATAAGAATACACATCTGATTGACATCGCTGGTTGAAGACTTCATCACAATATTTCTGAATGTTATCTAGCATAATACGCAAACGTTAGATTTTCTGATTTTTATAGAAGTATATAAACAATCTAGCGGCTATTTGAACGGCAGATGGCCGATATATTTAGAGTGAAATAAGCAAATTTTCATAAGGTTCTGAAGAGGTAAACACAATTTTCCCTGAAGTTATTTTATATTTGAGCCTTTTTCTTACAGTCTTTTGAAGAAAACTTCCGTCTTACATTTTTCTATACAAAACATCGAAAGCTTGCTGCATGCTACTGTGACGTGGCTAAGGATATAGAATTGCATTGACAACAATAATGCCTTTTAATTTGGGATAAGAAAAATAAGTTCAAAAGTAAACAATACAAGTGATCATAATTCTTCGATAAAGATGTACATGTATATTCTATTTGATATGTGAAATCGTTGGTTTATTTTATGCCTAAAAGTTTGAAGTTTGCAGTTTTCGTGAGAACATTTCTTTTGTGATATCATAATGGTCTTGTAGTTGATCACGAAATATAGCCGTATGGCAAATTGTTTTGTTTTTTATTCTTAATAAAAAGATTGATTTTTCTTTTAAAAATAACAGATCATTTTTTACGTAATGTCTAGGTCAATGTGGTCTCATAGTTCAGTGAATGTCGTTGGTTGCTGTCTCTCATATTTTTTTTTCGTGTTTAGATGTACATCCATTCTCATTGAACTAGTACACATGTTTGATTAGGGACCAGCTGAAGCCCGCCTCCGGGTGCGGGATTTTCTCGCTGTGTTGATGACCCATTTGTGGCTTTCGGCTGTTTTCTACTCTTTTGGTTGGGTTGTTGACTCTTTGACACATTCCCCATTTCCATTCTCAATTTTATAAATCGTTAGTTTTACCGTTTGAATTATTTCACATTTTGTCATGTTGTCTTTTTAAATGCATTTTAGTAGCTGATTAAATGGTATGGTTTTTAATCAGTGTTACAGTTCGTGCGGTGATCTATAGTGTTGTTTACATCTTTTTCATTTGGTCTCTGGTGGCTTTTTGTCTCATTGGCAACCATAGTTACCATCTTCTTATTTGTATATCATAATCCATCTACCTAATATATATACTCGATGTCAACTTCAGATCCTTAACTCATCGCAGCAAAAAAGTTACCCCGTAATGCACTGTGCCCTAAAGACAAATAAAAAATTGTTAAAGTACAATTTTATTTAAATGGTAAATTTACTAGTATTCATTGCCATTCGAAATTTTAACGCATTTTATAGTAATATATATTTGCGACAGTAAAGGTAAACTTATCAGCTGTAAAATTGATAATTATATGTTAACTCTGCTGAAAACAAGGATGTAGAAATTAAAGTATAAAATGGTGATATCTCATAGACGTTTACCCCCGATCTCCTTTTATTCCGAATCAATGCAGCATGAAAATAAGGTATTTAAATGTGCTTTTCATAGTTATGTATCAACATGTGTAAACGTAAGTTTAATTTGAAAACAGTTTTTTCTTGTTTCATCGATCAATCACTTTATTTCTTCTCTGAACTTTCTGATGTAGGGTATTATTTTGGAAAAGCAGGAGTTAGATATTTAACGGATTTTTCCTACTCATAATAAACAAACATTGAGTGGTTACCAGATGCGCATCCAGGATTTAGAAAAAAAGGGGACCCGGGGGCCCCAAACTAGACAAACTTTGGAGTGGAGTAGGTAAAAAGTCTAGTTTAACCATAAATGTAGCTCTATAAGGGCACCCCTCTAAATACGCCTCTGGTTACTCCCAAAATTTACATGGACTTATAGTAATGATATAATTCCAAAATACTCTTGTGCGTTTATTCCCAGATTGAAAATAGAAAAAAAACGTAAAAAGTATAGATCACGGTACACAAGCTATTGTATTAATAGTTTTATCAACGCGAAATGACAATGTTAATATTTAAGTATAAATAAATATGTTAGACTCAAGTAAATTTATTTAATATTTCTACTTGAAAAAAATAAAAGCTACGCTACCTATGAAAACCTCGGTTTGTCTTTTGAATATGTTTATACACTTTTATATACAGTACCTATTTGTTACAGAATGAAAGAGAACAGATTGTAACAGTTAATATCTGGTTCCGAATGGTAAGTCTAGAAGAAAAGGTGTAATATAAAAATGTTATCCAAGCATAATCCTTCAAACCTCGAGATATAACGACCAGCTGTAAGATTTAACAAATTATTGTCTGTGACATGTTCTTACTGTCTGGTGAGACTTGTTTAGGTACACAATACAGAAAGGTTAAAGGTTAAAGGTTAAAACATACCAAAGGCCAATCAAAATCTTGAGTCGAAAAAGCCCAAGCAACACGAAGGCAAAAAAAAAGAGACGAAAAAGACAAACAAGAGTACACAAAACTACACAGAAAACGAAATAGTGAGCATCGTGATCCCCAACAAAAACTTGGTGAACTCAGATTCTTCGAAAGGGAAATCGTTTCCTTTTCATCTAATGATACCCGTTATATTGTTATTACAAAAGTAGAACTCTCCTTTGCTATGTATTTGAAGCTTTTTTTTTTAACGTTTACTGTAGGTTTATTAAGAAAGAAATTTAGCCATTACTCAACTTACATTATACAAAATCGTCATAGTAGGAGTTGGTTCAGTATTTCCGAAGTTGTATCCAAGTTATCGGAAACTTAACAACAGATGATAATAATAGTCCGAAATAACCTTAATTTAATCAATCCAATTTGTATATGCGACTTCCTAAAATTGTCCGAATCTTTATTTGCGTTATGCCGGTATCACTAATTGAATTGTATTTTTTTTACAATACGATCGTAATTAAGATGTCTGTCAGCTCTCCTTATTGAATAGATCCGTGTTCCAAAAATATTCTTTTCAATAACGGATAAACATCAGAATATTTAAATGTTATTATATATGAATTAAAAAAATATATCAAAATAAGTAGTCTGTTTATTCCTGTTTATTCGACCCAGCCTCTGAGCATGTTTGTGTGTGTCACCGGTTAAGTTTACAGGTTCGGGACAAGTGTCAGAAAATTCCTGAAATAAAAATTTCTTAAGACATCTTCCCTCAAAACAAAAAAAAAAGAAAAAACTTTGCCTGAACCATGTCAATGCATTCAAGACGCATCTATTATAGCTAGCTAGGACAGCTTCTGATCTTTGCATTCAAGACGCATCTAGTATAGCTAGCTAGGACAGCTTCTGATCTTTGCATTCAAGACACATCTAGTATCGCTAGCTAGGACAGCTTTTGATCTTTGCATTCAAGACACATCTAGTATAGCTAGCTAGGACAGCTTCTGATCTTTGCATTCAAGACGCATCTAGCATAGCTAGCTAGGACAGCTTCTGATCTTTGCATTCAAGAAGCATCTAGCATAGCTAGCTAGGACAGCTTCTGATCTTTGCATTCAAGACGCATCTAGTATAGCTAGCTAGGACAGCTTCTGATCTTTGCATTCAAGACGCATCTAGTATAGCTAGCGAGGACAGCTTCTGATCTTTGCATTCAAGACGCATCTAGCATAGCTAGCTAGGACAGCTTCTGATCTTTGCATTCAAGATGCATCTAGTAAAGCTAGCTAGGACAGCTTCTGATCTTTGCATTCAAGACGCATCTAGCATAGCTAGCTAGGACAGCTTCTGATCTTTGCATTCAAAACGCATCTAACATAGCTAGCTAGGACAAATAAAAGTCCCACATTTGTTGCGTTGTGAAGTAGTATGTTATTTCTGTATGGACGGTGAGAGCGATTTGAGATCTAAAAGAACTAGTTTAACGCTGTCAAATGTCCACGTGTTTGTCCCAAGTCTGGAATCTCGTCAGTAAATGTCTTGTGTCTGTCTAAGACTTTATGTGTTTCGTTGTTTGAAGGATTGGGTGTTGATGGCAATACTTTATGTGTTTCGTTGTTTGAAGGATTGGCTGTTGATGGCAATACTTTATGTGTTTCGTTGTTTGAAGGATTGGGTGTTGATGGCAATACTTTATGTGTTTCGTTGTTTGAAGGATTGGGTGTTGATTGCAATACTTTATGTGTTTCGTTGTTTGAAGGATTGGGTGTTGATGGCAATACATTATGTGTTTCGTTGTTTGAAGGATTAGGTGTTGACGGCAATACTTTATGTGTTTCGTTGTTTGAAGGATTGGGTGTTGACGGCAATACTTTATGTGTTTCGTTGTTTGAAGGATTTGGTGTTGATGGCAATACTTTATGTGTTTCATTGTTTGAAGGATTGGGTGTTGACGGCAATACTTTATGTGTTTCGTTGTTTGAAGGATTGGGTGTTGATGGCAATACTTTATGTGTTTCATTGTTTGAAGGATTGGGTGTTGACGGCAATACTTTATGTGTTTCGTTGTTTGAAGGATTGGGTGTTGATGGCAATACTTTATGTGTTTCGTTGTTTGAAGGATTGGGTGTTGATGGCAATACTTTATGTGTTTCGTTGTTTTAAAGGATTGGGTGTTGACGGCAATATTTTATGTGTTTCGTTGTTTGAAGGATTGGGTGTTGATGGCAATACTTTATGTGTTTCGTTGTTTGAAGGATTGGGTGTTGACGGCAATACTTTATGTGTTTCGTTGTATGAAGGATTGGGTGTTGATGGCAACACTTTATGTGTTTCGTTGTTTTAAAGGATTGGGTGTTGACGGCAATACTTTATGTGTTTCGTTGTTTGAAGGATTGGGTGTTGATGGCAATACTTTATGTGTTTCGTTGTTTGAAGGATTGGGTGTTGATGGCAATACTTTATGTGTTTCGTTGTTTGAAGGATTGGGTGTTGATGGCAATACTTTGATTGTTTCTGTTTCATTTATTAACAACTGTTGTAGACTCGGGACGATTTATTTCTTGATACCATGTATAGACACCTGTCTATTTTTAAAGACTACATATTGCCATCTAGATGTCTTTTGGTTATATGTGTCGTTTCGTTGCTGTCTCAATTAGGTATTTTCCACATCTTTTTTTATTCGTCTTTGAAGTAAGCAAACATGACACTTAATCGCAAAACGTTATAAAATAAATTGCATTCCATATTGAGTTTACTTGATTGTCGTTGTTTTCACTCTAGATCTCATAGAGGTCTGTTTTTTTTTTTAAATTACCACGACGCGTACAATTAGAACTTACTCTTTTATATCTTTGAGTGAAAAATTAATACAAAAATGGCAACAAAGGTCCGTTTATTCACTTTTTGATTGAATTATATCTATTTAAAGTTTGTTTATCTGTTCATGGTTTGCCATACATACCCCACCACTATAACGTTTAAATATGGACTACATCTAACAAGATCGCAAATCAACGATGAAATCATTGGAGTTCCTTGTCATATGGAAAACGCGTTTTATTCCGACATGTTTTATGATTTAAAAGGACATTTAATTAAAGAAATCTATTTGTTACAAATTTTCAGAAAATATTTGATTATAGGATTCAAAATTGTTTTTGTATCTAGAATAGACAATATGTCCTTCTCTGTATATTTTCTTAATATCTTAGCTTTATGTAAGTGTAATTAGGATTCATGTCTTAAGAATAACTTGACATAACCTTTTTAATATGTATGAATACAGACTTTCTTGTGTAACGATCAATTAAGACATTGAATTGTTTTTAAACTACGGATAGTCATAACCCTGGGTCATAGTAACATTTGTTAGAGTGACACTTAGGACTTTATTCATCAGCAATACACCCATAGAATAAAAATTAAATAAATATACACAGAACAATAGCATACTGAGTGATTGTTATTCATGTACAAACAAAATTAAATAAATATACACAGCATAATAGCATACGTTTCAAACAATATCAAATTACATAAAACAGTACAAAATGATCAGTAACAACCGGGTTTTTCGTATTTCGATTTATGCAGAAATTGATACCAGTGGCACATAAAAATATAACGTTTTATTAAAGTGATACATTCTTCTTTCAATCAGAAATACTGAAATAGTAAATAATTTATCAGTTACGATTTATTAAATTGGAATGGTTCATTTTAACTATAATGAAATGGTGAATAATTTATCCGTTGCCATGTGGACATACTTCTTCAAATACTTAAAACTCTGATTTCAAGTACTAATCCGACTTTGTTACAAGTTAACAGCAATGTAATCATATTGTGATGGTATCAATTCAACTGTACAAATAAAACAAATGTAAAATCAAACTTGCGTAAAGTTGATGTCAAATACAAATTATAGACACGAGAAGACTAAACATACCTCTTGGTAATATGAAACATCATAGGAAGGTCACTTTTAAAAACAGCTGCCCAAGAGACAAATTTTTAATACAAAAGCAATTTGTGTATAAGGCAATATCTATATACAATTACATATAATACATATCGACTGCCCCAGAGATAGTATGTTATTAGATGCGATTGTGATACATATGTTTGTCTGGATACGAGTAAAAATTATATTAGATTTATATATTTTTTTCTAACAAACTAAAGCTGTATCATAAACATATAACTTTTAACGGTATGGCTTCACATAGCATATTGAGCTCTGTGGAGATTATCTTCTACCTGTTTACAAGTGACTGATACAAATCAACCGTAAACCTTTCAGACAAATATGAATTGTATTATGTCTGTTTGGGTTGCTCACCCAATTTTGTCAATATTACGGAACTATAAACATCTTTCATAAAAGTGGGAGGTTTAGCTAGCTATAAAACCAGGTTTAATCCACTATTTTCTTCATATACTGCCTGTTCAAGTCAGGAATATGACAATTGTTTCCCATCTGTTCCAATGATTTGATACTGTCAAGCGTTTGATTTTCAACGGTCAGATTTTATGGACTCCCCCTTTCTATTTTGCTATTTATGAACAGATCAATAATTCTTTATCACTATATTTAGTCTTGCATATATTTTTCGGCTGCAACAGAAACAACGTTAATCTTTGGCTGAATTTTGTTTGTGTAACATTATTCCGAGATGGTCTTTTGTCCGAATGCCATCGGACGTCAGAGTGTTTTTCATGTCCTTCATGCATATTCAGAACGGGAACCAATTATACAATATTTCAATAAGCTATAAAAATAGATGGACCACCCACTGCAACTTGGAA